AGGGCTTGACAGAATGCCTGTGGTTAGCCCAGGGGCACGTTTGTAGAAAGAGCAAAACGATCTTGGCTAAATATGTCCAAAATAGAGGCAGGGAGTAGCTAACAGGCAGCATGGACAGACAGAGTCTAGTGGTTAGAAGTGCAGCTTCAGTAGAATTATAGTTTTTCAGCCCTTTAAAATATGGTACTAAGGCTTTGAAAGTCCTTCAAAAATTGTGTAACTTCCTCTAACAAAGGGAAGTCTTTAGATAAGACTTTACAGTTCTGGTTGTTTTGAACCACAGTATTTTGATCTGATTCTAAACTAAAATGTATTGATTTTTCTGATGATGGGGGACAAAGTCTGGTCCTTTATAGAAGTTCTGCCAAGTATAGAGAAAATCTAGAAAAATATAATGGGTTTATTCAGATATGCATGGAATGTCAATTTCTCTACAAGCTGATGGCTATCAGCCTGTACTAGCAATGGCTAGTAATATACTAGCAATGACTAATTCATTTTAAAGAAAGGGATGATAAGTAAAGAAGTATTCAGGCTGTTGTGTCTTATCTTCTCTTTGCTTTAATGCTGTTATTACTTCATGCTCTTTTTCTCCTGATTGGCATAAGTCCATGAGAAAAATTCCTTTCATTTTAAGGAGGAAATTCTTGAAATCAGAACTCTCCTCTTGCACCAAAAATCAGTGTAGCACAGGAAAGACAACTGTTTCCCCGAACTGGTACCTGAGGGTGTTATCACACTCTGAAACAGCTTATCTGCACCAGAACATTATTTCTTTTGGAAAAATGGATACTTTAATTTTCACTGGGGTTTCAGTCAAACTTCTTTTTTCCTGTAACTGTTAACCTCCCCCTGCCTCCAAATTGCTATTGTAGAGGTAGCTTTTCTCTAAATTAAGAGACAGTTTCATAGTGTCCTTCCATTGTGCAATAGCAATGGAATATGGCCTATAGTCCTTTGTCATTCAAAAATGCATGCTTTCAGTTGAAAAGGTGCATTTTTCTTTTCCTTGGTCTTTCTTCCCAAATACTTTGAAGTCTGAGAAATGATGCAGCAGATGCTGAGCTGAAAACTAGAAGATATATAATGATTTAAGTGTCAGCTGCCTATTATTTACTGTTCTTTTAGTTCACTATGATAGAAGACTGCAGCTGTGAAAATTAGAAAAAAAAAAAATTAAAAAGCTCATATATTTCATTACATCTTTCTACTGCTAGGGTTGTTTATTTTCAAAACAATATATTCTTTGCTGATTAAAATCAATATATATTTTATTATGACTTTCACATAGTAATTTTCCTGTTGCCAGTGGCAACTACAAAAGGAGTAAATACAAACAGCTAGTGTATTCCATGCTTGTTTGCTGGTTGTTACAGTGACATGGGTGAAGCGCTTAGGGGATTAACCCATTGTCATCATTTTGCACTGGTAAATTAGGGGATTATTGTCTTTGTTACAGCCTCAGTAGACCCCAAGAAGGCATTAAGGCAGAGGGGCTATTTTCTAGCTTGTCTCCACATGGGAATTTTGGAATGAGGTGGGTTTTTATGGTTGACTTCATCATGACTTTATGCCAAGGATCATAGATGCTATTAGGCATTGGCCATTAGTTATTGCTTAGGAATGTTTTAAAAATCAAAACCCTGGAAAACTGTCTCTTTTTTAAATTATTATTTTATTTCTCTTTTGTTTTAAGATCTCTTATAATTCAAAACTAATTCCTGACCAAGATCACTCAGAGGGTTAGGAAACATAGCCTGTGAGGAAGGATTGACTGAACTGTGTCAACAAAGAGAAGATTGTAAAGAAAATGTGTTCAGATAGTAAAAAGCAGCTTCTGAAGTGATGGAAATCTAGCTATTCTCTGATACATGTGCTTAAGATAAGAAATACTAGGTTTAAACAAGAAGTTAGGTTAGATATTGAAATAAACTTTCTAATGGCAGAAAGATAAAACATTAAAAACATGTTATGGATCAATTTACCAAGAGTGACACTGGCAGAGGCAGGGCAAGGAAAGGTGCAAGACAGGGACCCCTTGGTCTGCTCAGAAGAGTGAAACCTGAGAAGAGATGATTTTGTGCTGTGCCTGCCAAAATATGTGTGCCATCTGAGCTGCCTTCAGATAGCAGTTACCTGCTACCTGCAGTAGCAGTCTCTATGACACCTTAGGAACACCGTTAATACATGTACATGGATTTTTGTGAAACTTGCCCTACCTTTCAAGGAGTTATATATACAGTAGTAGAAATAAATATTTTGGCTGGACTACAGCTAAACTGTGAACATGGTATAGAGGAAGTTCCCTATATCATTTTGCAATTTGATGTTTGCATTTTAATCTCTTCTTCTAAAACTGTTATAATTCATCATTGATTTAGCTTCAGTGTCACAACTCAGTCCTATGGCTCAAAAGAGATATTCTTAAGAATGACAATTTATAATGCTGAAAATTCATGAATGTTCACAAAAAAAAGCAAGCAACTGCCACCAACAACATTTTTATTCCACATATTAAACTTGCTGATTTTCTGTTTTGTATTCTGGTTTAGGCTTCAATCTAACCTGGATTCAATAAGGAAAGCCAATTTTTCCCTCTGAACATGTCTTTTCAATATTTAGGCACAAATTACAATACAGAAATGAGCAGTATAACTATATTTTTTTGCTGATATTAGAAAAGATACTACCTGAAGTGGTTATAGAGATCAGTGAAGTAGCTTTGCAGGAGATGACTAAATTACTTAAAAATTACAAACTATGGAATGACTGAAGATATTGAAGAGAACACTCAGACTATGGAGCCAGTGACCTCTAAAACAAAAGGTCTAGTTCTGATTCTATTCACAGAATCATAGAATCATTAAGGTTGGAAAAGACCTCCAAGATCATCTGGTCCAACCATCACTCTACCACCAATGTCACCCACTAAATCATGTCCCTAAGCAACACATCCAAACTTTTTTGAACACCCAAGGAAAGTGACTCCACCACCTCCCTGGACAACCCATTCCAATGCCTGACTGCTCATTCCGAGAAGAAATGTCTCCTCATTTCTAACTTGAACCTCCCCATGTGCCACTTGACGCCTTTCCCTGTACTATCACTAGTTACCTGCAAGAAGAGGCCTACCCCCAGCTCCCCACACCTTCTTTTCAGGTAGCTGTAGAGAACAATAAGGCCTCCTCTGAGCCTCCTCTTCTCCAGACTAAATAATCCCTGTTCCCTCAGCTGCTTCTCACAGGACTTGTGTCCCAGGCCCTTCACCGGTTTTGTAGTCTTTCTCTAGACATGTTCCAGGGCCTTGATGTCTTTCTTGTAGTGAGGGGCCTAAAGCTGAATACAGCAGTCGAGGTGCAGCCTCACCAGAGCAGAGTACAGGGGGACGATCACCTCCCTGGTCCTGCTGGCTACACTATTCCTGATACAAGCCAGGATGCCACTGGCCTTCTTGGACACCTGGGCACAATGCTGGCTCACATTCAGGCAAGCATCAGTCAGCACCCCCTCTGGGTGATCCTTTTCCTCTGCACAGCCTTCCAGCTGCTCTGCCCCAAGCCTGTAGCACTTCATGGGGTTGTTGTGGCCAAAGTGCAGGACCCAGTACTTAGCCATGTTGAACCTCAATTGCAAATACTTGAAAGTTGTCATAATTTTTTTCTGGGCTACAAAGAAATCTTAGGTTTTATTCTTTTACTTTTCAGATAAAACTCACCCCTCCATATATAAATAGCCAAATGTTTTAAGAAAGGCAAACTGTTCCATAATATTTTGGTGTTCTCTTGTGACACTCTCACATCTTCTAAGAGCAGACTCATTTTTCCTTCCTTTTTGTACCCATCATCCAATACGTGACATTTTATCTGTTGGACGGATAAGACATTATGCTGCTGTGGCAGTTAATCACTTGTAGTCAGGGATACAAATATCACAGTGGAGCTGGATGAGTTAAATTTAATGGGTGTGTAACTGACAGGAATATACAGGATAAGCATTTTTTATTACGTACTTCTCAGTGCCACTCAGTTCACAGCATGCTCCACAAACATTGGCAAGGAAATATGTCATGTGTCAGGGAATGAGTAATAGAGATTTGTGTGAATTATGGATGCCAGAGAATGTCTAATTATAGCTCATGAAAGGCCAAACAATAGGGGTTAAAAACACCAGAAACATTTCCCCAAACAGAAGATGGATTAACAAGTCTTGGAGAGAACTGCCAATATTAATAGTCACTAAAATTCCTGTGTGGCCAAGAACCCATGGATAAAAGACTAGCCTAGATCTGTGGAAAAGAGGGTCTGGTTGTGACAGAGGACAGGATGAAATGAACGTCACTTATTGAAAAAGGTTTCCAGAATCTTAAATATAAAGCAATGTGTTAAACTAGGCTGGAAGCAGGGAAGGAGCAGCTTTTTCCTAACTAAAAAAAAAAAAAATAATAAAAATCTGACTTGTACTTCCAACATACAAAATAAGGCAGCAGATGGAGTTGCTAGGAGACAGAAGGCAAAGAATGAGAGTATGAATGTGCTCTAGTGTCTACACAATAGCAAAGAGTACATGAAACAAGCCAGAGCTACAGATCTCGCTGTCAGCTATTACTACTACAAGTGATGAAATATAGTCTTTGTGCTAACCAGGTAAATGATAAACCTGAACAATTTTAATAAGATAATCTATGAGAGTAATACTATGTGATATTTAATTATTGTCTATAGGAGACCTTTGCAGCCACAGAACTACAGTATAATTCAGGTGGGAAGGACTTCAAGATGTCTCTAGTCCAACCTCCTGCTTAAAGCTTGGACAGCTTTATTAGTCCAAATGAAATTGGTTACACCTTCTGTCACAAAGGTTGAAAAACATCTCATAAAGCTACTGAAAGTACCAGTTTGAGATCAAATATTGAATTCAGGAGATGTCTACTAGTTTTCTGTGGGATTAAGTGTTATCATCTGATAATAGCTGCTAAGGATCTAAAAAAAAAAATCCTTGAAAGATCTGTTTGTATTCTTATGAGATACAGTATTGCAAACATCAGAGCTGACATGAAAAATACCAAGATAAATTTAGCAGAACAGAAAAAAAATAACAAAGCTATTTTGGGAACCTGGAAAATACAGGTAATAAAGCATTTGGACAAAACCACAAAAAGCACAGAAAATAGAAACAGGCATTGGGGTGAAAGTGGACAATGAATTAGGGAGGAGTCACCAAACATGAAGACTGTGCAGTGCAGGAATCTGTGCACAGTGTGAAGCCCTGGAGCAATGCTGGTGGTTAAGCAAACCTGATCTACAGCATTCAGCCATTCAGCACAAGCCAGCTCAGTGATTAAATGAACAAAACAAAACAAAAACAGAAAAAAAGAAATGTGTAAAGATGTTCAGTACATGGCTAGCTGATACCAGTTCTCCAGGACTGGCTTGTGCACAACCTGTCTGTAAGGATCCAGTGGGGATACCATGACTGTGTCTGTGCTGGTGCCACCATCTGCTGCAGGGATGTACATGTATTTTCCATCCTTTAACAAGTGAATTGTGTCCTACAGCTTGCCACACTCCCCGTTGAGCAGCCCAGCCCTATCTGTAGCATGTAGCATTTGGATATTGCTGGTACAGCAGCTATCCCTTGCAGTCATTTACTCACAAGCATCTCTAATGCTGGTGTATTTGTGCGTGATGCCAAGGGTGTGTTTGCCTAAGGAGTTGTGTGTTATGACAGCTCACCCCCTGGTAGGATGGTGTTCAAAGGCTGGGCAGGATAGAGTCAGTGAGAGTTGTCTTGATTCACCCTCAACCCTTATTGGAGCAGGCCCTGAGAAGCTTTTATCAGGGAATCAGTTCCATGTTTGAGCTGGGTGGAAACCAAGCTGTCCTAACCCATGAATGATCAGCAAGTGCATGTGGGCAATAGAGGCAGCCCCAGCTGGCAGCTCAGATGTACCCAGAACCTGTGCTTCTAGGTGCTTTAACTCACTCCTAGCATCTGGCAAACCTTCAAAGTGAAAGTGGGCACGTTTATTCTAGGAAACCCAGAGGTCACAGTCTTCATTGCAATACTGGAAACCCTCTTTCTGCTAATTTTCATTTCTCCTGGTCCAAAGGAGCATACACATTTACAATGTTTTTCCATGTGCCTATGGAATATAAATATGTAAACACCAGACTTGTAGAGAAATCATTTAATAAGATAATATCTATTAACATCTATTTAATATCGGTATAAAAATAAATAGCTATTAATATTCCTTCTCTTATTATTCAGTGGCATTATGTCTATTGCTCTAAGAGGCAGAATTTACAGGATGGGATTAAATTAGATAAGAAAAAAAAAATCAAAGTGAGTGGTGAGAACATTTTGCAGTGTCAGCATGCACTGTGGCTGGGACAAGTTTGACAAGTGCTTACCGAAAGGTCTGTCAGGGCACTGCACTTTCACCGTACCTCAGCTGGAGGAAAGCTAGGAAGGAGCAGAGAGCAGAGGATGAAACAAATCATCCCTCAAGATGGTTCAAGAGTTCTTTTATACCCTTGCCACTATGTCTTGACTTTCTCTGCCTATACAACTGAAGTGGTAAAGGTTGTATATTATTTTCCTAGGGGTGCTGCATTGAGCAAGTGTTGAAAGAAAGACTGACTACTATGTTAGGATATGTAGCATAAATGCTGAACATCACCAGGCCAAACACATTACCTGATTTGGCGCAGCAAGTCATCTATGTCTCTTTTTGTGCCTTGCTTCTTTCTGTAAAGTCAGCTTTATTATTCTTTTTCTCTGCAGAATCACAGGTCTCAACAATACTGCTATGAAATTTAAACAAACAGAACAACAGTCAGTCAGTACAAGGCCTTTCATGCCACTGTGGTCTCATTCACATTACCATGTATTTCAACAGCCTCATTAATACATGATTCTGATTACAATTCTGAAACTCTCAGTAGCTCCATTGTGGAATATTTGACAATTTATTTAGGCTTCTTCATCATTCTGAACATTAGAAGTGAATTGGTCTTCAGGAATGTCATGAAATTTACAGGCTTTAGTTGTCTGAATGGTCGAGATCTCATCTTTGAACAACTTCTTACAATTATTTTTTGTAAGATGAAACCTTGCAAATGACATCTCTAATTTTTCCAAAACTTTGCCCAAAATATAGCTCTCTGTTAGTAAAGCAATAACGTTTTGAATCTTTATTAATCTTCATTTCCAAACTGTTAGTATATCAAGATAATTGATACAACAGAAAAAAAAGGAAAAAAAAGGTTGTGAGAAACTGTTTTCAAAATCCTCTTCCCACCCACAAGAATTTAAAGAACAATATAAAGTGAGTTAAGGTAGCAACATTCTCTGTAAACCTGCTTGCAACCATTCATATTTTAATGCCACATGTAACTCGGTGATTTTTTTTAATTTATTAATTCTTTGTCCTTAAGCTCAATATTATAATAATGATTTAAAAAAGTAATACATTAAAAAATGCATTGTAGCCTGTATGCAGAAGCATGGCTCCCTGACTCACACCTATGTATGCATGTCAACTGTTATATTTTAAATACACAAAAGAAGAAAACACAATCCTTCAGATACCTTGAAGTGTTTGTTCACGTACAAGGCAGGAAAATAGAGAAAATTCTGCAGTGATACAGAATTGGGTGATACAATCTAGTGGAGGACTAGATCTGATAAAAGCTAAGGCATCTATTCATCCCAATCCCTTTTGGCTTCTTCAGAGTGCCTAAATTAGGAACTAAGTGCTGTCTGCCACCTACATAGTCAGTCGTGGGAGATAAATTAGTGTGCCCTGCAGTCCTGTACCCCTCCCTGATTGCCCAGATAGGGGAGAGCTGCTAGAGAACATGGTGGTTCCCTTCTGTCTTCTGCACCTGTACCTCATTCACCTGGAAATCAAGACAGACAATAGAGCCTCTCTTGGGTGTCTTGCATGTCTTAGTGCTGGGTTGGGCATGCACTCAAGTCTGGGAACCCTAATGGGTCCCCAGGGGCATTTCCAGAAAGTAATTCAACTCTGAGACACTCCCTGGATCTGAGTCTCTTAATAAACTCCAAAAAATCTCTAGGCACATTATTAAAATGGCCAGAGAGGTAAGGTGAATCCAGGTCTTAGGAACCCAGAAATGAGGACAGCAACATCCTGAATTTTGGGTACATTGCTGGATTTAATATTATGTACATAGTCTTTCTAAATGGTGAAATGCCTCACTCAGAGGGTGGTGAGGGAATATAAGTTTCCCAGGGAGGTTGTAGATGCCCCATCCCTGGAGGCATTCAAGGCCAGGCTGGATGTGGCTCTGGGCAGCCTGTTCTAGTGGTTGGCAACCCTACCCAGAGCAGGAGGGATGATAGGTCTTTAAGGTCTTTTTCAACCCAGGCCATTCTATGATTCTATGGGAGCCAGTGGCCTGTTCCAATGCCCGACCATCCTCTCAGTGTTGGAATCTTTTCCTGATATCCAACCTGAACCTCCCCTGTCTCTGCTTCATGCAACTGTCTTCACATCTGACCTTACACTGTACCTAGAGAAAAAATAAAGTTGAATTGCTACTCTTATATAACCTTATTTCATTGCAGTTAGTCTTATTCTCAGAGAAAATACTGGACTGGGATCTGTGGGCAGGTGAGACAGAGAAAGGGTGTCAGGGGATACTTGGGATATGAATGGAAGGTCAACCCATAAAGGATGTTAAAACAAACAAGAAAGTGGCTGGTGAGTCTGGATAGAAGGCAGTCAAACCTCAAATGTTGGATATTGAGGGGCACACTGTCAGAATACTGCTTCCTCTTCAGCCCCTTTTAGAAAGAGAAAAAACTAATTGCTTCCAAAGGCTGCCTATCTGCTCATCTTTCGCTTCACATACATGTCTCAGGCATATCTGTGGTACTTGGACTACTGTGTATTCTGCTGTCATTCCACACCTTGGCTTTCTGTGGCATGAAATCATTAGTTGGTTCAGACTTGTCAGGATGAGCTCTGCTCTGGGGTACTGTGGGAGGACATCCCTGCAGAGCCAAGCTCAGAGGCAATGCTGCCACAAAGGCAGCAGGTGCTGCGTCAGGTGGCATCGGTGAATCAGGACATGGATTTTTCTCTCCTATGTCCGTATTAAAACCCACTTTCAAGATACCTTTGTCAGATCGGCCATTTTTTGTGACTCCTGTTGGAACAGAAAATGCTTACGGGCACTTCCATTCCCCAAATAGATCTGTTCTCTGCACTCCAAATCATCGTCACGAGTTGTTATACGGGTGTGGCATTTTAATCAACACAGAGGTAATGGCTGAAGCAATTTCATGTTGCAGTAAGAAAAGGTTTAAGATCTGTTATCTTTCATTAGAATCTAGCGTGTTATTTAGTAGTACAAATGCCATTGCAGAACAGGTTTGTGCAGGAAATGAAGACACTTCAGCGAAAGTAAACGTAGGATGAAATCAACATTCATTTTATTTCACTCCCTTTAAAAGGAAAATACCCACATCAGTTTTGGCTCAATGACATGCAAATTTTTTTATTTTTTATTTTTTTTTTCTGTTCTGGGGTTTGAATTAACACCTAGCTGAAATAGTTGCTAATATGCTTTAGTGATTCATCGTGTACCAAAACTAAATTTATCTTCTGATAGAACGAGAGAAACAGTCAAAATATAGTGTTTAATCTATTTTAATGAATTCCTAAAGAAGGGTGAGTCTAATATCCTCTTTTGACTTAGTTGTGGTAAGAATGCTAGAGGGAAGGAATTTAAAACTAATGAGTCTAAATATGTTTTTCTTAATTTACAAGTGCCATTGAAATATTCCTTATTTGTTTCAAAGTAATTTTGAAGGGAATGGAAGCAGGTTTGTAACCTGGCTAATTGGATAATCTCAAAAGGTGTAATGATATGAAATTACCACTCCTTTCTTTGAGGAAAAAAAAATAAAAAAAGCAATTATTACAATTTGCCAGCTTAACTGTTGAGGATTTCATTTGACTTCATACTGCATCTTCAGTCATGGTAAGCCTTTCCAGCAAATTCAAATAATTTAAAAGAGTGTACTTTTGCCACTGAATTTGCTGGTTAATTTTGTCTACAAACTGTAAACCCATTTTAAAGGATTTTAAAAAGCAGTCCTCAGTTTTGCAAAAAATAGACTCAATATTCTCTTCTGAGTAAAGAAAATAGGCAGTAATACTATTTATACACATACATATTTATGTTTAGGACTAATTTGCACCTTTTAAAATTAAATCATTTTACCTTCTTGTTTTTATCTAAGTGATATACTAGTCTAAGTGATATAGTATGTTTGCTCCTTCCATTCTGCTTGATTAGCCCTCAATACCTAACAACAGTTTGTCTAAAAAGTTGACCAATCTGGGGAGTTTACTCTGCATTTTGAACTTCCAACAAAAGCCTATGACTTGGGAAGCCTGTCTTAGCTTGCTGTAATACACACATCTCCCTACATCACATCTAGTAATCATACATCACATCTAGTAATGGAAAATAGTGAACCAAAATACAAAGTAGAACAAAAAAATCTTGAAGTGTGAAAATCTTGAGCACACCTGCAAACTCTGTTAAGTAAAAGAATCCATGTGTTTTAAATACACAAAATTTTCTGAGGACCCAGTTTCCCTTGTCTCCTCAGAAGAGCAAGCACTCCACCTGCTTCCATTTCTACTTAAATTAACATCAACCCTTATCCACCCACAGGTTATAAGCTGTTATTTTCACCTCTTGAAGTCTCCTGGTCCCTCCACAGATGTTATTAAAGTTAGGAATCCTACTGATTTCATACCATTCCTAGCAGTAAATGTTAACAGCTTTTGTCTCATCCACATGTGAAATACAAGGGCTACCCTGTACTCATAAATCCTGTAGTCCTAGGATCTTCTGGCCAGCTGGCATGGACTGATGTTGTTTGTGCCACTGAAACCTCATAAACAAGCTTGCTACACCCAAGCTGCCTATTGGGAAATGGTCCCTGGCCTTTTCTTACTCTGTATCTTTGCTTAGGGTTTGTTTGGGAACTTGTTTGCTGGTCAGGGCCAGAAACATACCAGAGTCTTTTTTAGCAGTTTATCAGTAGAGATAGGAAAATAGCAGTGTCATGGTCTGTGTGCCAATCTACCAATATAGGCATAACCAGGTGGCTTTGTTTTTTAAGGACGTCCTTGGATCTCCTTCTGGATCCACAGTCTCCTCTGGACATGGTGGGGGCACCTCCAAGTGGTCGTCTCTCCCTACCCAGCTTAGCTAGTGGTAGTAGAAGTGAGGAGGGCACCCCTCGCAAAACTCTTCTGGAGTATCCTTGTTCTGGCTTTGGGAAACAGAGAGAATTCTTGGTTTTGCTGTAGAGGAACAGTGTTTGCTTCTTTTTCACAGACAGCAGTTTCATTGTCTGCCCTCTCTGGGAAAGCAAAAGTTTCTCAAGGGTCAGAATTTTATGGAGGAGCTGTAGGAGATTCTGAAAATTTTTATTCAACAGGGACAATTGTATTTCTGATAGGTTCATGATTGGAAGATTTGTTTCATCTAACACATTTAGAACCTGGCAAAACAGGTACTATTTCCTTAATTACAGAAATAACAGGTTAGCAGTCCAATATTTCCAATCCAGTACAAAGAGGTCCTAAGGAGTGAGCTGAGGTAGCAGTTTCTCTGCCCCATGCAAACTTGACTCTCCTTTGTGATTTGTTCCTGTAAACTTGCAGCCACAAGCACCAAATCATGAAGCTGAAGTGTAAAAATACCACTTAACTGTATGAAGGAATAACTTGCATAATACCAAGCTCCCAAGATTTCTCTTTCTAATTTTATCATCACCCTTATTTTTATGTTTATGTTTATTTATTTTATTTTTTTTTATTTTGTCACACAGTAAGAAGGGCAGAGTCACATTCTTGCATCTTATGATTAGGTATGTAAGTCAGCTGAGTCCTAGTGTGAAAAAAGAAAACAAAGCATTTCTAGTTCGCACCAAACATTTCTTTTAACTGTAGCTCCTTTAATTGATCATGGGCCTGCCAGATTTGAGGCAACAGAATAAACAGACTTAAGAGATGCTTTTAGCTCCAAGTATGGTCCTTTTTCACTGAGGCACTTTTTGGTTTTATTTGCTACATATTATTTTATTCAGTGTTGTTTTTAGGCTGAGTTGGAATGTAACATTGTCGTGTCAGGTCAAAAGGGAAAATGCCAGTCAGTGTTTCCCTGTGGTTGCACACACGTAACATCATCATGTCCTTTCAATGAACTCTGCCATTATTCCTGAGACAGAACTGTTATGTTAGCTTGCATCACTGCAGATATTATCAGTTATAAAAATATGCAGCTTTTTATAAGCTACGTGTTCATAGTCAAAGGAAAATACCAACAAACCTTGTCATGAAATATTATCAAATCTAACTTTCCAGAACAGACTTTTTTTCCTCCCTTCCTTCCTCCTTTCCTTCCTTTCTTTCTTCTGTCTGTCCTTCTGCACTCTCATATTGGATTTTTTTTTTTTTTTTTTTTTTTCAGGTGGGCAAAGAGAGAGGTATATAGTAGTTAGTAAGGCCCAGACCTTGGACTGGGTTTACACTAACCTTTGGCAGTGTTTGTCTGTATAACTTGATCAAGCAAAGCCCCCTTTTCTCTTTTGTTTCTAAAATAGAGGGTAACAAGCTTGCCTTTTTTTTTTTTTTTTTCCTGTAAATTCTTCAGAGTCTTTTTATAAAAATCTATTATTATATCTGATAGAATTCCTC